TTCCAAGTTTTCCTGAGCTTCTGGTTAAATTGCAGTCAAGCATATGGATATACTCAAAAGAGGAAAAGAAGAGAGTGAAGAAAACAATGGCGCGGCTGGAGGAGACAGTGTCGGAGCTGAAAGATGAGTTTATGAATGGGGACGGCGGTGCTGACTGCTACGAACAACTGGTCAAGTACGGCTCCATGCTGAAAGCGTATCAAGACGAACAAACAGAGCGTCTCCGGACTATGGCGGGAGTGCAGACAGGAGTGCTTGGGGAACTCCCTTCTCCGGTGCTGTCAAGTCGGATTGCATAAAAAAAGGCTCAGACGATAATTGAGGAAGTCAACTTTAAAGGTGCCTGTTTCACGGGGGAGAGGGAGATTCTCACCGCGGCCTCGGAATACTTCATGGCAGCGTTTGCAGCCAGGGAAGCAGAGTTGAGAACTGCCTGGCTGGTCGACCCTGGCAAGATACTCAGCGTAGCGGAAAGAGAGATGTTGAGGGCCACTTGGACGGAGGAGGAGGTGAAGTTAGCAATCAAACAGCTGCCGTGCGGCAAAGCACCTGGCCTGGATGGACTCCCGAAGGAGTTGCTGGAGGAGAATTGGGACCTACTGGGCCCGTGCTTCATGGCCTTCGTTAAGGACTTCGAGAGGTCAGCGGTACTCACGGAGCAGTTCACGACGGCAGTGACAATACTCCTGCACAAAAAGGGGGACAAAGCGCTGTTAGAAAACTATCGGCCCATTACACTTTTAAGCACGACATACAAAATTGTGGCGAAGGTGCTGGCGAACCGGATCAAGAAGGTGCTGCCATCCGTGATCTCGGATCATCAGTATGGCTTCTTACCGGGGCGGAAGCTTGTAGATGCAGTCAATGTCAGAATCCCAACCACTAGACCATTGGGATAAAAGGGCTTGTTAAGTAGCGGGTCAGTGCGCCCATAACCCCCCAGGCCAACGTGCCTGTAACCCTTCCCTAGGATCAATCGGGGATCACCAGTGGACCTCTGACACCCCCCCGCACCGGGATGCCCGAAGTGCACACACTGGGATTCGAACCCGAGATCTTTGCTCTGATACCATGTCAGAATCCCAATCACTAGACCACTAGGATAAAATGGCTTGTTAAGTAGCGGGTTAGTGCGCCCATAACCCCCCAGGCCAACGTGCATGTAACACTTCCCTAGGATCAATCGGGGATCACCAGTGGACCTCTGACAGTCAACATTGTCGCAGATGTCATCGACGCGACGGCCGTGGGAAGAGAGGACTGGTACCTTATCTTGGTCGACTTTCAAAAGGCATACGATTCGATCTCTCGGAGCTACCTGCTTCAGATGCTTGCACGGATGGGCTTCCCAGAGGAGTATGTGAAGTGGGCGGAGGGACTACATGATCCCTCCGGAACGCAGCTGCTGATCGACGGCCGGCTGGGGGACAGGGTGGAGATGGAAAGAGGAGTCAGGCAAGGGTGCCCCCTTGCACCATACCTGTTCATCTGCGCAGCAGAACCACTCAGTCAAGAAATCAGACGGAGAAGGCTGGGAGTGTGGAAGAGAGGTAATGCTTGGGCTATGCGGATGATACATCGATCGTACTACATCGCAAGGAGCAGATTGTCAAGGCATGCAAGCTGCTGGATGACATAGGGGAGATCTCGGGGCTGAAGGTGAACCGGGGAAAGACAGTTGTGGTGCCACTAGGCCGCCAGTGTGAAGGGGTGTACCTCCGCCGCCGGACGTACCGTACGCTTGGGCTGGAAAAGACCAACCACAGAGACTCCTTGGGATCTGGATAACCTCGGGCGGAAACTTGGAGCCATCTTGGGAGAAGGCGGCAAACAGAGCGGGGGAGGTGTTGGCGAAGTGGCAGAACGAGCACGTTAAAACTTCGGCAAGGGTATCGGTGCTGAACTCGTACGCCACCCCTATCCTTCTCTTCCAGGCGCAAGTTTACCCGCCACCGAAGGGGACGTGGAAGGAGTTCAGAGCTACTAGTCACAACTTCACGTCCAGCGGCAAAGCCTCGACGGACAAGCACTTTGTCCTGTGGAGTGGGGAGCTGGCTATGGACAGAAAGGAAGGAGGTTTGGGGGTGATCAACCCAGCAATGCGAGTGGAATGCATGGCGCTGAAGAATCTAGGAGACGCGGTACAACAAAGAGATCAGATGAAACGATGGTTGATGGAAAGGGCGGCTGGGATGCCCTTTGGATGGGCAACTCTGCTTGCTCACCGATCAATCCTGCGGATATGGAACAAGGGGGGGGGGAAATGGAGGAGATCGGTGATTACTTTCTGGCAAGTCTTGTAGCAGAGGATTCCCGCGCCTGCGAACCGGTGGGATTATGCGGCAGAAAGGATCTGCTTCAGCAGACACATTTTTTATCGAGGGAAAAGCCCCTTCGGAAGGCAGAAGGGCTCCGAATGTCTGCTGGAATTGAAAGTGGGAGACCTGATACAGACTGACTGGGACAGCGCAAAAAGGGTGAAAGACGTGTGGACCCTAACTAAAGAGACAGGCAGCTCAACAACGGCACGATGGGCTCTCAAGGCTTGGAAAGCGGTACCGAGGGAATGGAAGGAAGCCCTTCTGGCGAGACTGACCGGGGAAGAGATTCTGAAGCTGACATGCTTTGCCTGCACGCGATCTCTGACAAGCAAACCTCTGTACTGGCAGCTATTAGCAGTGGATGGCGATGGAGTCCAGTGCAAGCCAGCGGAGGTGGGGAAGAGGGGGGAACTGCTTCTGTCGAACATAGCAAACAAACTCCGCGCCGAGGCCTGCAGACTAACACCGTTACTGGTGGAGAATAGCCTGCTGATGGGAGAAGCAAGGCTCGTGCTCACAAGGTTGAGGCTGTCGGTGTTGTGTGAGAAAGGAAAAGGGGCCACTCTGAAAAAGCTGAGGGCGGTTCTGAAAGGGCCGGTGGAGCAGCCGAAGCAACAGAGGAAGTGGGAACAAGAATATGGGAAGCCTGTCGACTGGAAAGGGGTTATCCGGAAGAGGGTCACCCTAGTTACTCCGGGCAGTGCGTGCGAAATCATTCTAAGGCTTCACAGCAAGAATCTGCAGGTGGGGGAGAGACTGAAGTTCATGAAGGATCGCATCAGCTGCCCACACTGTGCAGAGGACGAAACCCTAGCTCATTGCTTGCTGGAGTGCAGCAGTATACAGCCTGTCATCGGCACGGTTAAGGGGGCTTTGCAGCAGATGAATCCAAAAAGGGAGGTGGAGAGACTCGAGGACTTTCTGTTTGTGGCGGATGGCACGTCGTCAGGCTTTCCGGAAAAGCCGCTGATTGCGGTCGCCATTCATCAGATCTGGCTGGAACGCTGCGAAGCTGCTTTTCGACAGGGAAAATTTCAACCGCAGAGAGTGCTCCGGAAGATTGGGGTGAACTTCATGAAGCATGTTAGGATCTACAGTGCCCACAAGAAACAAGTGGCAAAGAGAGATGGGCGGAGTGGGGCACGGTGTTGGCTCCATCTGGCACAGGACGAGGCTGCAATGCTGAGCTGGATTTTCGAAGATGAGAACTCGCTGACGTGGAAGGAAGGCTGATCTGTGTGGGCTAACCCGAGAACTGCCTTCCAGCCACCTTAGAGTGCTACGGAAGGGCTGTGTAGACTCCCTTGTCTTCCTGGCCCCTTCCTCCCTCAAAGTTAAGACTGTGGATGTACACACTTTATAGTGCATTGCATCCTTAAAAAAATAAAAATAAAAAAAAAAATCGCATGGCACGTGGAGTGGGTGTGGTCGGTTGCAAAACTGCCACGCTGGACCGAAAATTCGCCCTGCGCGGTTCGCTTTGGGGCGGTTCGCTTTGAGCGAGCTTGCTGTGAACGCCATCTGAGTCGCAAGTCTCCGCTAAGGTGGGGGCTTCATGCGTGGTTCCGTGACGACGAGAGGCGTGGGTCGGAGAGGTGATGTGAGATCCTTCTTGCGACTCTTGAATAGCCAATTAAAATGAGATCAGTTTCCCAGCCAACCAACGGCCACGTAGAATCACCAAAGCGCTGAGCAAAAGTGACACCTACAGTACCTACTGCGTGTACTGTACGTAGCTGGGCAACAACGCTTCACTTTTGCCAGCGCAGCACAGCTCAACCACATGCCTTCAAAATATGTCGATTTTACTGGATAAACAGTGGCCGCTCCCGCGCCAATTCGTTGACACTTCGCTGCTGGAATGCACCTTTTTTTGTGGTGGTCAGAAGCCCATCCACCTCATCGGTGCTCTTTCTTCGGAAACCCGTTGGCTACTCGTCTGACTCGATCAACTCGCCGATGGCACGCAACCTCCCTCCACTCAACAACCAGAGAACGATCACGCGCCGCACCAATCAAATCGGCACCCTCGCAGGCAGCTTCCCCACAACACGTCACTGCGGGAATGTCGCGTTTCCGCAAGTGAGTGACACATCACCAGCGAAAGTCAGCGTGGCGGTGGATTTTGTTTCGTGAATTGCATGTGGTGGTGGCGGCCCTCGTAGTGTAGCTTCGCAACCACTTTCGCGAATGGTATGATGACGAAGGCACAAGAACGCCACCTTCAGCTGTTTTACAATGACGCACAACATCGTATCAAACCGTACACAACCTTGCTGTCCACGGCTCCTCCTCCTTGTTTGACTGCGTTTTGCTTTTGCCTTCACTTTCCCCAAACCAAAGCAGAGTTTCTTGCATGGGAGATTCTGGAGAAGTATATATAGCTCAACTCATATCGCCTTCATTGTCAAAAGCTCTTATCTTTTCCTGTCCGTTATTGCTTTTTCTCCCTACCGACTGGTGCTACTATTCGCTCTAGCTCACAGTTCCACACATCAAGCTTGCGACATGGCCGCTGCTTCAATGACTCTCGCGCGCACCTGTGTTTTATCGAGCGCAGCTCTCTCTAAATCCCGTCTCAGTGAAAAAAGGAACACCTCACCTGCACAATCCACCTCCTTCCGCCTTACTCCTAGAGCCGACGCCTCCCCGTCCTCACGATCCGTCGCCACTAACGGCATGGCGATAGCTATGCCGGCGCCGACTTCCTCCGACTATTACTCTGGTTACCCGACTGAGTCTCTCCCGCCGACCCCGGTCTTCCCGTCAAACCAGGCGATGTCGCAGTTTCTGCAGTCTTACGGTCGCATGCTGCAGCACGTTCAGGCCAACGGTCGTAACGAGCAAACCGGCGACGCTCTGGTGTCCGGCGACTCTCTCGCAGCCGCGGGTGCGACGGTGGTCGAGCGTGTTCACCTTGGCCTCAACGCGCTACTCGGTCACCCCGTTCACGTGAGTAGTTTTCACAAAAGCCTGATGCTTTCTGTGATTGGAGCCGTTTTCGCCATTTTCCGTGTAGACGAAAATTGCGAAGGCTTTCCTCCGAGACCTCATACTTCACTGGACGAACCAGCTTTGATTTTGTGTACCCGCAAAGACTTTTTCTGACAGATTCGTGTCGGTTTGTGTTTCTTGTTTTACTTTCAGGGTGTGCAAGGAGGACAGAGGTGGTGCGAGAAGGAGATGCAGGTCGAGCGGTGCTTAGCCGAACTCGAGAAGGACATCGACGGTATGCGATCGGCCCACGAGCGACCTCCGCGTGCCGCTACTCTCACCCTCGCCACCGCTCACTGCTACGAAGCCGCTCGCCTCATTCGCACCCTTTGATTGGTTCGCTGATCCGAGCCTCGTTCCGCCTTTGAGTGGTTCGTCCGTTGTCTCCATCACGTTATCTGCTTGCTCTGATCTGCTCGCGTTCACAGCCTTCAGCCGCAGCAGTCAGATCCGTTGGCATCACGACGCCATTTAGGTGCTTTAGGCTCTCGCCGTTCATCGTTAATATTAGACTAGGGGTGCGCGGCCTCCGTCGTTCCTGTTTCTGCCAGCGGTTTTCGTTCTTGTAACGAGGGTGCCTCGGGGCTTGTCCCGTGCTGGGGGGAGCAGCCATCACCTGACGCTGTGCGGTGTACATAATTTACAGGAATGATGGATTAGCTGATTAGTTTTAAGGCAGACATTGCGTGTGCTTTACCACTCATTTTACATTATATGATTGTAGATGACCTTCCCACCGTCCCTGGCCAAATCAGTATTTTGAGGACTCGGATGAGCATATGCATAAGTTGCATAAATAGCTTACTGGTAAGTTTACAGCACGTTTTCTTTGCATGTATCGAATCTCCTAATTTACAGTACAGCGATACATCCCATCCGTCACCATCCTGGCCAATCGCTCGCTCACCGTGACGAGAAATGTACAATCGACTGCCACGAGTGTTGATTCCTGTTACATCCCAGGTGCTCCAATTCGCAGTTTTCGCGTGTTTTGTGTACGATCAGACGCTTTCTTTCACCCGTGATCAGTCAGGCCACTTTTTCTCAGAACAACCTTGATGTTGTCCCAGTTCATTTCTGGGTTCCTAGAAACGCCTAGCATAGGGAAATCATCATTGATCAGGAAGGCGATCCGGCTAGCGAGCCGTTAGTGTTTAGTGCCCCGTCGCATCGACTTCAGTGGTGCTCTCTTTTCAATGCTAGGTGATACTGTAAGCTGTGGACCTACCCAACGTTAGATGGTTACAGTTCAGGGACAGAATGGTGACAGAATCAGCGACTCCTTAATTTCCGGTATTCATGGATGCTTCAGTTGTTAAATCCCATACCTGGTTGTTGTCAGTTCCGTTCTTCATTAACCTATTGCTAGGTCTTTGCAATTAAGAGCCGACATAGCACCGCTACGTTAGGGGCGGCGCATAGGCACGTCATCCAGCCACGTCATCCTGTGGATTCGGCAGTCTGACATGTCCAACATTTGTCAGAAGATCCGATTGGATTGTTGACCGTCGTCGGATCTCGATCACACTCTTTCCAGTCACCCCGTGCTCATCTCAATGTCGCGTCCACGAAGATTCGCTCCTCTCCTGTTGCTGATTGCAGTCCTGCTGCTGGACCACCAATCAGCAGCGTCCACGTGGCAAGAGCACGGAACGCTCGATGTTTGCGCGACCAAGCAAACATGCGAGGAACAAAATTTGAGATTTGCACCAGAGGGCAAGAGTGATGTTTTTGCGGAGGACGTAGCTGCTGCTTCTGACTCTGCTGTCCCCACTGACGCTGCTGTTGCCGCTGGAGCTGCTGCTGCCGACGGTTCTGTTCCTCCTTTAGCTGATTCCAGCGATGCGCAAACGGGTCAGAAGCAGAGCGGAGCGGACGAGCCGGATTCTGAGGCTGGCGTGACTGAATTGGAGCAGGGTGTGACACAATCGGAGGATGTGATAAGGGACGGAGAGTCGAGCACGCTGCCTGAAGTGAATGTGACTGCCATGAGGTCAGTCAGTCAGTCACGCTCTCACAGCATGATGGCTTGAAATTCTCTATCATAGTTTATCTCCTGTTGCTCTGCCATCATTGAGCTGATGCAGGTATGGGCCTCTGAGCTAAATGTTACTCTCTCGAATTCAGTGATCCCACGAGCCTGTGCCTCGACTTCCCAAAGCATCGCATGTCTGTCTGTCCTCCTTTCGATTCAATCCCTTCTCCCAGGAATGTTTAGGATTGAACATGAATGCACCATGTCTCCTGACTGAAAGTGAGTTCCTTCTATCTCCCTGCAGGCATCAAGTGGAGGAGATGTTTTATCATGCGTATGACGACGGTTACAAGCGATTCACCTTTCCACAAGACAAGCCGAACCTTTGCCCTCTCTTCTTCCATTCTTCCTCCTGACCTGCAGGCATCAAGTAGAGGAGATGTTCTATCATGCATATGACGGTTACAAACGATTCGCCTTTCCACAAGACGAGCTGAAACCTCTCAGGTGTTTCCCCCTGCATCTGCTGCATGTCTCTCTATCTCACCCTCTCACCATTTTTCTGCCCTGGCCGTCACTCTCCTTTCCCCACTTCAACTTGTTCTCTCGTGTGGTGTAGGTGATTTTCTTACAAACTTTCAAACTGGCTCTTTTCTCCCTCAATTACCTCTCTCCTTCACTCACCCGTCACCCCTGTCGCTTCCCCATGTTTCCCTTGTTTCCTGATTGCCAGCTGCTCTGGCTCCAATCCCTATGGTGGCATGGCTATGACGCTCATGGAGAGCATAGGCACGCTGCTGGTGAGGCGATTATGGTTCCCTGTCTGAATGTGTCTGCATCTGTTGGTTTACTTGCTCACCTGCTCAGTTCCTCGCTTGCTCGGTTTCTCCAAATCCAATCTCTACGGTGGCATGGCTATGACGCTCATGGAGAGCCTTGGCACGCTGCTGGTGAGGGTTGGTGGCAGGTAGAGTGGGTCTCTGTGTGGCTGCAGTTGGCGGTAGCACCCTTTCTCGCTTGCTCCTCTGCTCTGGATCCAACCCCTGTGATGGCATGGCTATGGTGCGCATGGAGAGCAAAGGTAGTCGACTCAAAAGTCAGTCGACTCAAATGCCAGTCGACTCAAAAACCAGTCGACTCAAAAGGCAGTCGACTCAAAAGGCAGTCGACTCAAAAGGCAGTCGACTCAAAAGGCAGTCCACTCAAAAGTCAGTCCACTCAAAAGTCAGTCGACTCGAAAGCCAGTCGACTCAAAAACCAGTCGACTCAAAAGCCAGTCGACTCAAAAGTCCGTCGACTCAAAAGGCAGTCGACTCAAAAGTCAGTCGACTCAAAAGACAGTCGACTCAAAAGTCAGTCCACTCAAAAGTCAGTCGACTCAAAAGTCAGTTGACTCAAAAGTCAGTTGACTCAGAAGTCAGTCGACTCAGAAGTCAGTCGACTCAGAAGTCAGTCGACTCAAAAGTCAGTCGACTCAGAAGTCAGTCGACTCAGAAGTCAGTCGACTCAGAATTCAGTCGACTCAGAAGTCAGTCGACTCAGAAGTCAGTCGACTCTGAAGTCAGTCAACTCAAAAGTCAGTCGACTCAGAAGTCAGTCGACTCAAAAGTCAGTCGACTCAAAAGTCATGGAGATCCTGCTGCTGGTGAGGTGGTGGTGAGAGCACAGGATCAATGCATGGTATGTTTTCGCCCATCCCCCCACCTTCCCCCTTGCAGCTTCTCGACAACGTATCAGAGTTCAACTGGGGCGTGGAGTACCTCTCTCACCACCTCTCCTTTCACAAGGCGATTCAACGCCCTGCCTCATCCCCCCTCCCTCTATGTTCTTCCATTCCATGCACCCCACGGGGCCCACCCCCACCTCCCTACCCTTGCAGCTTCTGGGCAACGTATCAGAGTTCAACTGGGGAGTGGAGTACCTTTCTCAGCATCTCTCCTTCGACCTAGATATACGCGTGTGTGTTCCATACTCGCCCCTCCCTCTCCCATGCCCCTCTCTTCTCTTCCTTCTCTCCCTCCCCTCGCACTCAGCACCTCTCCTTCGATCCAGACATTTGCGTGTGTGTTCCATACTCGCCCCTTCCTCTCCCTTCCTCTCGCTGCCTCTGTTTCTCTCCAATGCTCCCCCCCTCCTTTTTTCCTCTGCCTCTAACTACTTCCCTCCCCTCCCAAGCCCTCGTCAAACCCCCAAACCGTTTTCTCTCACCTTCCACCCACTACCTGTGGCTCTATATACCCTGTGCTTTCTGAATGGATTTTCCCCTTGCTCTCTCCCTCTCGCTCCCCACAGAAATGTATTTGAGGCCAACATAAGGGCTCTGGGAAGCCTCCTATCCGCCCACATGCTTATCCTGCAAAGCCACGACCCCACGCTGCCACCTGTCCATCCCTCATTGGCTGGCGTGCATCTGGCACCTGGGTACAAGGGCCGTCTGCTGGAGCTGGCTATTGATCTGGGCTTCAGGTGAGTCTCAGGTGGGATTTTAAACTTTTCAGGTGGGGTTCAGGTGGGATTCAGGTGGGGTTCAGGTGAGATTCTGGATTCCTACGCATGGGTGAACCCGCAAAGGGAAGTGCTGTTAGACGAGATCACCCACCCATCCATCCATCCATCCATCCATCCATCCATCCATCCATCCATCCATCCATCCATCCATCCATCCATCCATCCATCCATCCATCCATCCATCCATCCATCCATCCATCCATCCATCCATCCATCCATCCATCCATCCATCCATCCATCCATCCATCCATCCATCCATCCTCCTCCCCCTCCCCTCCCTCCAGACTTCTCCCGCCTTTTCGTCAGGGACACCCATTCCGTATGCGTGGGTGAATCTCCGGGGGGGAGTTCTGCCAGACGACGTCACACACACCTGCACTGCCCTTCCCTTTCCTCTCTTCCCATCCTGTATCGACCAGACTTCTCCCCGCCTTCTCATCAGGCACGCCCATCCCCTACGCATGGGTGAATCTCCGGAGGGGAGTTCTTCCAGACGACGTCACTCATACATGCACTGCCGGCGCCGGCACTCTGCTGCTGGAGTTCAGTGCGCTCTCGAACATCTCCGGCATTCCCATTTTCCAGGTGAGGAGTCACACCCCTCACATGAAAACTGAACTCAATGCTCGTGAAAACTGGATCCCAGTCTCCCAGTCACACACTGCTGGTGCCGGCACTCTGCTGCTGGAGTTCAGTGCGCTCTCGAACCTCTCCGGCATTCCCATCTTCCACGTAAGACACCTCTCAGGCATCCCTGTGTCTTAGGGAACGTTACCAGGCCATGGGTCAAGCAGGGCCACACAACACGCGTGCACTGCCGGCGCCGGCAGTGTGCTGCTGGAGTTCAGTGCTCTCTCGAACCTCTCAGGGATTCCCATCTTCCAGGAAAGCCCAAAAACGGGGGAAAGCCCGCACAGGGAAAGCCCGCACAGGGAAAGCCCGCACGGTAAAAGCCTGCACGGGGAAAGTCTGATTTTACTTCCATTTCGTTCCATTTTGTTTCATCCCGACAGGAGAAGGCAGAGGCAGCAGTGGTTGCTCTGTACAGGCGGAGGTCGCCCCTGAACCTCGTGGGCAATGGAATCAGCAGCACGTCAGGTGGGTGGTGAGTGATATGAGCACACACCCCAGCATTGCCGTCAGCAGGATGGTAGGTGAACGGTGAATGAGCTGAGCAGTGGTTGTTCTGTACCGAAGGAGGTCGCCCCTGAACCTTGTGGGCAATGGAATCAGCAGCACATCAGGTGGGCACAGGTGCTCGAGCACCTTTAGGTCTGCCCATTCCCTCCCCTCTCCCCCTCTCTCTCTCTCCGTTCTAAGGGGGTCCTTCTTTCCTTCCCCCCTTCCCTCCTCCCTCATTCACTCCTTTCCTGTTTCCCTCCCTCCGTCATCCTCTGCTTGCACATGGCCCTCCACCCCCTCCCTCGTCCCCTCCATCATTCCCCATACTCTCTCATCTGATGCTACCTCTATGGACCCACTCCTTTCGCTCTCCCCTCTCGCATTCGTTCCACTCTCACTCTCCTCGCCAACCTTCCCTCCCACTCACCCCTTGTCTCTTTCAGGAGTGTGGCTGCAGCGGGAATCCACAGCAGGAGCTGGCGTTGACTCCTTCTTTGAGGTGAGCATTGACCTGGTCTTGGAGGTAATCATCTCACCCTGACAGGTGCTGGCGCTGACTTCTTCTTTCAGGTGAGTGTTGACCCGGTCTCTCCCCTACATCCAAGACTCACTTTGAAAAAGGAATTAGAGGTTCGCCTCATAGCAGCAGGAGCTGGCGTTGACTCGTTCTTTGAGGTGAGCGTTGACCTGGTTTCTCCCCTACATCTTTGAATCGCCTCATAGCAGCAGCAGGAGGAGCTGGCGTTGACTCGTTCTTTGAGGTGAGTGTTGACCTTGATCTTCGAGATAATAAGACCACCCTGAATTCTGCAATCAGTGAAAGTCTATCCCTTAAATGGTGAACACCCTCTCAAATGTGAAACCTGTGTATGCCTGACTGACTACTTTGGTGTCTTGGTCACCAAGACTGATTACCTTGGTGGCAGTGACTAGTGACCACTCGTTCCATCGTTCAATGACGCTTTCAGTCCCTCCCTTGGCTAACCACTAGATCCTTCCTACTCTGTTTGCCTTCCGTTTTTGACTCCTTCCATCCCCGCTTGCAGTACCTGTCTTCTTGCCTTCCCGTTGTGCCTCCTTCCTTCCTTCCTTCCCCGCTCACAGCAAGGGGTATACTTGACTTGACTTGACCACCTCCGTAAGGGCTATCTGCTACTGGGCAAGGGGAACCGTCGCTCCTGTTCTGAGGTTTAGGACGTCTCAAAACCCTGTTGTCCAAGGGCTATGTTTTTTTGCCTTCCTTCTCCCATCCGCCCCCTCCCTTCCTTCCCCACAGTACCTCCTCAAGGGCTACCTGCTGCTGGGAAAGAGCACTTTTCGCCGAATGTTTTCCAAGGTCTGTCAGATTGTGCCTATGTATGTCGTTGTGATCTTGTGTCAGAGCTAGTAGTGCCTGCATTGTGCAATATGTTTCCATTCTTTGGGAGCATCGCAACATCATGTTGTCTCATTTGCGGCGTACGCCACATCCCCGCCACTGTTACATGCGGCGTCACTCTGTTGCTTGCAGGTGTATTCTGGTGCAATGCGGTATATGGCGGTACGGGGGGAGTCCATGGTGCGCTGGCTGCTAGATGTGGGCATAGACAACGGGCATCTGGGCCGGCACTATGCTTCGTCCCTCCAAGCGTTCTGGCCCGCCATGCAGGTATGTATGCAGAAATGAGACAAGCAGGTGAGGAGATATACAAGTGCTTGTATGAGGGTATGGTGCGCTGGCTGCTAGACGTGGGCGTAGACAACGGGCATTTGGGCCGGCACTATGCCTCGTCCCTCCAGGCGTTCTGGCCTGCCATGTAGGTATGCAGTGAGTGCACTGAACACGTTGTACCACCAAGCATCTGGGATGCAGCACTGTGCCTGCCATGCAGGTATGCAGTGAGTGAGTGCACTCTTAAAACACGTTGTGCATATTACTACCTTCACATGCCACCGCCTTCAGATCATTGCTGCCCAGCAATAAGGTGACTTTTGAGTCGACTCAAAAGTAAACACGTTGTGCATGTTTTTTCCAAGTCGACTCAATAGTCACTTTGTATAAGACTTTGCCCATCCTCCACCTCTCACCAGCCACTCTCGTTCCCCCCCCCCCTTCTCATTCGCCTGCCACCGCCACCACGTTCTTGCTGCCAGGCATTATTTTTTAGTCGACTCAATTGTCACTTAGTACAAGACAGTGGCCATTCACCACCTCTCACCTGCCAGTCTCATTGACCCCCTCCATTCTTCCCCCCCCCCCTTCTCTTCCGCCTGCCACCGCCGCCAGGTTCTTGCCGGGCAGACCGCGGATGCCCGAGTCATCCACAGTGGCCTCTGGGCAGTGTGGAAAAGGTTTTCCTTCCTGCCCGAGCTTTTCAGCGTGACTGCTTCAGCCGTTCATCCAGTGTATGTATGGATGCTTACATGTAACAGAGAGCGCATTTAGGTGTATGTGTAACAGTGGGCTTATTAATGTACGTACAAAGTTGTACGTGTAACAGTGCATGAATAAGGTGCACGTGCCAAGCAGTGTGTTATCTAGATGGAAAGGCCGCCGGCCACCAACGAACGGCAAGGCCGCCGGCCGCCGGCGAACGGCAAGGCCGCCGGCCGCCTACGAACGACAAGGCGACAAACGGCAAGGCCGCCGGCCGCCGACGAACGGCAAGGCGACGAAGGGCAAGGCCGCTGGCCGCTGACGAACGGCAAGGCCACCGGCCGCCAGCGAATGGCAAGGCCGCCGGCCCCCGACGAACGGCAAGGCGACGAACGGCAAGGCCGCCGGCTGCCGACGAACGGCAAGGCCCCCGGCCGCCGACCAACGGCAAGGCCGCCGGCCCCCGACGAACGGCAAGGCGACGAACGGCAAGGCCGCCGACTGCCGGCGAACGGCTAGGCCGCCGGCCGCCGACGAACGGCAAGGCGACGAACGGCAAGGCCGCCGGCGAACGTCAAGGCCGCCGGCGAACGGCCAGGCTGCCGGCCGCCGGCGAACGGCTAGGCCGCCGGTTGCCGACCAACGGCAAGGCCGCCAGCCGCCGACCAGCGGCAAGGCCGCCTCCCGCCGGCGAACGGCAAGGCCGCCAGCCGCCGACCAGCGGCAAGGCCGCCGCCCGCCGGCGAACGGCAAGGCCGCCGCCCGCCGACCAACGGCAAGGCCTCCGGCCCCCGACAAACGGCAAGGCGACGAACGGCAAGGCCGCTGGCGAACGGCAAGGCCGCTGGCGAACGGCAAGGCCGCCGACAAACGGCAAGGCCGCCGGCCGCCGACCAACGGCAAGGCCGCTGTCCGCCGACCAACGGCAAGGCCGCCGGCCGCCGACGAACGGCAAGGCCGCCGGTCGCCGACGAACGGCAAGGCCGCCGGCCCGCGACGAACGGCAAGGCCGCCGGCCCCCGACGAACGGCAAGGCCGCCGGCCCGCGACGAACGGCAAGGCCGCCGGACGCCGACCAACGGTAAGGCCGCCGGCCGCCGACGAACGGCAAGGCCGCCGACGAACGGCAAGGCTGCCGGCCGCGGCCGCCGCCGGCCGACCAGCGGCAAGGCTGCCGCCGGCTGCCGACGAACGGCAAGGCCGCCGGCCGCCGACGATCGGCAAGGCCGCCGGCCCGCGACGAGCGGCAAGGCCGCCGGCCGCCGACGAACGGCAAGGCGATGAAGGGCAAGGCCGCCGGCCGCCGACAAACGGCAAGGCCGCCGGCCGCCAACAAACGGCAAGGCTGCCGGCCGCCGACGAATGGCAAGGCCGCCGGCCCGCAACGAACGGCAAGGCCGTCGGCCGCCGGCAAACGGCAAGGCCGCCGGCTGCCGACGAACGGCAAGGTCGCCGGCCGCTGACGAACGGCAAGGCCTCCGGCCCCCGACGAACGGCAAGGCGACGAACGGCAAGGCCACCGCCGGCCGACCAACGGCAAGGCCGCCGCCCGCTGACCAGCGGCAAGGCCTCCGGCCCGCGACGAACGGCAAGGCGATGAACGGCAAGGCGACGAACGGCAAGGCGACGAACGGCAAGGCCGCTGGCGAACGGCATGGCCGCCGACCAGCGGCAAGGCCGCCGGCCGCCGACCAACGGCAAGGCCGCCGGCCGTCAACCAACGGCAAGGCCGCCGGTCGCCGACTTACGGCAAGGCCGCCGGTCGCCGACGAACGGCAAGGCCGCCGGCCCACAACAAACACCAAGGCCGCCGGCCGCCGACGAACGGCAAGGCCGCCGGCTGCCGGCCGCCGACCAACGGTAAGGCCGCCGGCCGCCGAAAGCGGCAAGGCCGCCAGCCGCCGACGAACGGCAAGGTGACGAATGGCATGGCCGCCAGCCGCCGAACAGCAAGGCCGCCGGCCGCCGACAAACGGCAATGTGATGAACGGCAAGGCCGCCGGCCAACGAACGGCAAGGCTGCCGGCCGCCGGCCCCTGACGAACGGCAAGGCCGCCGGTTGCTGGCTGCCGACGAACGGCAAGGCGACGAACGGCAAGGCCGCCGGCCGCCGACGAACGGCAAGGCCGCCGGGCGCCGACGAACGGCAAGGCCGCCGGGCGCCGACGAACGGCAAGGCCGCCGGCCGCCGACGAACGGCAAGGCCGCCGGGCGCCGACGAACGGCAACACTGCCGGCCGCCGACGAACGGCAAGGCCGCCAGACGCCGACGAATGGCAAGGCCGCCGGCCGCCGACGAACGGCAAGGCGACGAACGGCAAGGCCGCCGGCCCCCGACGAACGGCAAGACCACCGGCCGCCGCCGAGAGGCGCCTCTTAAAGGAGAGGCGCCTCTTAGAGGAGACAACACACCAAGGAACAACACACCCAGGATAGAAAGGAATCCTTCCCGTTGTCATTTGCCTTGCCGCACCTTTCCCGAGGGTTCAGTGGTGAGAAAAAGGTCGATGGCATAGGGGGCCTTGTCTGTGATGCGTCCGTTGTGCCAAGCAGTGCAGTGCAGTGTGCAAAGATATCCCTTTGAGGAGTGGCGCCATGCCATGCTTACTACTACAAAGGTGTACCATATCATGTGCGTGTAACGGTTCAGGAGCTGAGATGCCGTGGCTGAAAAATTGCGCCCATTCATGCCATGTCCCCATGCCTTTCTTTCATTATGTGTGCACAGGGAAAGGGGATACCCACTGCGGCCTGAGATGGCAGAGAGTGCTTACTTCCTCTTCAAGGTATGAAATACTTGGGATGGGAGAGGTCGAGATTCACGCCCCTTACTAGGAAGAGGAGCGAAACAGGAAGTGTTGGGTGCTGAGAGAGAGGGGATACCCACTGCGCCCTGAGATGGCAGAGAGTGCGTACTTCCTCTTCCAGGTATGAAATTCTGGAATTCCAAGAATTCCTAATCCTTGGAATGGAGAACATTTCCTTCTTACTGGAGCAAGTTTTGAGTGGACTCAAAAGTCACCAATCTTGTCAACTCGGCGGCCTAGGCTGAGCTGATTTATTCTTTCCACCTTTCTAATTCCCACCTGACAAAAGAGCTGTTGCTAGAAGCGAGCAGCATTGGGCTGTGCTAGTTGCTACAAAGGGGTTGTGTCTTGCACCAGAGATGGCCGAGGGTGTTTTTGAGTCGACTCAAAGGGGCTGTGTCTTGCACCAGAGATGGCCGAGGTTGCATGGGCAATCATATGTAGCTGGAATGCAAGCCCTCCCATTCCACTAACCATCCCCTGATCGCCGTGACTCACACCCATCCAGGCCACAGGCAACCACACGTACCTGGAGATCGGGAGGGATATTGCTGCAGCCCTCAACACAGTCACACGCGCAGGTGCTTTTCTTGATAAAATCGAGCAACAGAGTGTGGGTTTGCAAGCGTTGGCGACATGCAGATGCATTTTCTAGTAGACTTCAGAAGCCACTACTGATGCGCCTTACATGTTGTCTCCTTTGTTCCATTCCATGTGCATTTCAGGTTGTGGGTTTGCAAGTGTTGGCGACGTGCAGACACATCGCCTTGACGACCACATGGAGTCATTTCTGCTCTCTGAAACACTTAAGTAAGCATTGCAGTGATTGCTTTTGAGGCGCCTCAAAAGTCATTTCTGCTCTCGGAAACACGTATGTGCTGCAGTGATTGCTACTTTTTGAGGTTCTTAAGTGACCATAAACTGTTGTAAGAGAATCATGACAGCCATATGGAGTCGTTCCTACTCTAAAAACACTTACATAAGTGCTGCAGAAAGAGCTTTTACAGTATCAAGTGGCGATAGCTTGATCTGATTCAATTTGATCTAATCTGATATTGCTGCTTTTCCTCCACCAGGTGCCTCTACCTCCTCTTCTCCCCTCACATTGACATCGCCGCCCGGTTCGTGTTCTTCACAGAAGGTCATCATCCCCTCTCACCCGAAGCGGGTGTTCATGTCAACTCAAAACACATTTATATCACTGCCTGTTGTTGTCACTGCTGATATCACTGCTTGTTGTCTCCCACCCACCAGGTACCTCTACCTCCTCTTCTCACCTCACATCGACACCGCCACCTGAGGCGCCTCACTAGCTATTGCAGGATCCGGTCTGATTTGATCTGATAGCACTGCTTGTTCTTTCCCTCCCACCAGGTACCTCTACCTCCTCTTCTCCCCTCACATCGAAATCGCCACCCAGTTTGTATTCTCTACCGAGGGCCATCTCCTCTCCCTGAACCCCGTGTGCTTTGAGTTGAGTCATCTCAAACAACACTTGATGTTACTCCTTGTTGTCTCCCTCCCACCAGGTACCTCTACCTCCTCTTCTCCCCTCACATCGACATCTCCGCCCGGTTCGTTTTCTCCACAGAAGGTCATCTCCTGTCGCTGAACCTTCCCAGAATCTTCCGTGTCGTCTGCCCGTCCGAAGACCACCCTGACATGTCGCCAGCTGGCGACTGCCGAGTGGTTGCTGCCACTGCTGACATGGATGCTGACGTGGACACTGATGTAGATGCTGACATGTCGCAATCCCCCTTGCAGGCTCCAAACGAGGCACAGAAACCCCCGGATGAATCACAAAGACCACAGTCACAACCCCCCTTGCTCGAGAAGCAACAGCCCTCGTTTGAGTCACGCAAACCCTCGTCTGAATCACGCAAGCCCTCGTTTGAGGCACGCGTGTGTGAGGACTCTCTTTCTGCCCTGGGCTCTCTAGTAGATCCGGACTTGGCTTTAAGGCGACAGCTGGTTTGTGAGGCCGTGGTGGGGACGTTTGAGAGGGATGAGCATGGAGGAAAGGGGTGGTATGGTGCATGGGAGGACGAGGATAAGGCGAGTGGGGAGGGGGAAGGAGGCGAGGAGGAAGCACGAGAGAAGGGAGAGGGGGAAGAAAGGAGGGATGAGGTTGGGGAAAGGACGGAGGGAGAGGGTGGGGTTGGGAGATTGAGAGATGGAGCAGGGAGAGCAGGCGAAAAGGGAGATGACAAGAGTGGGATGGAAAGTGGATGCGTGGAGGGTGGAGAATTGAAGAGTGGTGTGCGGGTGAGTGGAGTGGCTAGTAATGTGGAGGGAGAGAGAGTGCCAGCTATAAGTGAGAAGGGGAGCGTGGAGGGTTCAAGGGAGAAGGAAGCGGAGACAAGGGAGGAAGGTTTGAAGGAGATGGAAGAAAGGGAGACAAGGGAGAGGAGAGAGCGGAGAATGGGGAGGGACGAGAGAAAGCGGAGATTAGAGAGAGCTAGGGAAAGAGAGAGGAGGAAGAAAGTGGCCGAGAAAATCTTAGACGAGCGGCAGAGGGACATGCAACGAGAACGAGAGTTGAGACGACTCAGAACGCAAGCAGCAGGGCTGCGGCTGATGCAGGGGAGGAGGGACGAGAGATGGAGGAGCCCTCTAGAGGAGGAGGTGTCTCGACTTGCTTCCTTCATCAGATTCCAGGAGCGGCAGAGGGAGCAGCAACTAGCGGCAGCCGCCGTCGCAGCAGCAGCAGCAGCAGCAGGGGGAGAGGAGGGAGCAGAGGGAGCAGGGCGAGAGGGTGTGGGTGAACAGGGGCAGTGTCCTGCAGGAGACCTGGACAATATTTTTCCCGATGCTGCTGCCGCTGCCGCTGCTGCTGGTGCTGGTGCGGGTGGTACTGGTGATGCTGCTATGGGTGGAAGGCGGTTGGGAGGGGTGGTGTCGCGAGTCATTGGTAACCAGCGTCTGCTGTGCTATTTCATGGTGGATGCTTCACACGGCCCCTCCTGCTTTGCCTGGAACGCCCTCCCTGCTGCTTTCCCCTACCTTCAGGGTTTCCAGACCTTAACAGTGAACCTTTATATCCGTAAGTGCTGTGGGTGGTTGGGGTGCGGTTGGGAGGGGTGGTGTCGCGAGCCATGGGCAACAAGCGTCTGCTGTGCTATTTCATGGTGGACCCATCACACGGCCCCTCCTGCTTTGCCTGGAACGCCCTCCCTGCCGCTTTCCCCTACCTTCAGGGTTTCCAGACCTTAACAGTGAACCTTTATATCCGTAAGTGCTGTGTGTGGGGTCCGGTTGGGAGGGGTGGTGGTGGGTGGGTGCTTAGAACGCCCTCCCTGCCGCTTTCCCCTACCTTCAGGGTTTCCAGACCTTAACAGTGAACCTCTACATCCGTGAGTGCTGTGGGTGCGGTGCGGTTGGGATGGGTGGTGGTGGTTGACTGCTTAGAACGCCCTCCCAGCCGCCTTCCCCTACCTCTCTGGCTTTCAAACGCGAACAGTCAACTTCTTTATCCGTAAGTGCTGTGTGTGGGGTGCGGTTGGGAAGGGTGGTGGTGGTTGGGTGCTTAGAACGCCCTCCCTGCTGCCTTCCCCTACCTCTCCGGTTTCAGACGCTAACAGCCAACCTCCATATCCGTGAGTGCTGTGCGTAGGTTGGGTGCGGTCGGGAGGGGTACTGTGCAGTGAGTCATGGCCAACCAGTGCAAGGTCCCAGCAGAGCCCACCTGCCCTGGCACCACCCCTCTCCCCCATCCCTCTCCCCCATCCCTCTCCAATTCCCCTGGAGCACAAGGTCCCAGCAGAACCCACCTGTGTGGTGCGTTTGCTTGTATGGTTGTGTCCCCCCATGCTTCCCCTTTGCTCCCTGCCCGCATCCCTCTCCCCCCATCCCTCACCAATTCCCCTGGAGCACAAGGTCACAACAACAGAGCCCCTCTGTGTGTGCGGTGTGCATGCACTTAGTTGGTTGGTTTTGATTCTTTTCAGCCCAGTGTGCATTCCCCCCTTCCCCTGCCTACCCCTTCCCTCTTCCCCATCGTTTCCCCCAGAGCACGTGCAAGCCGCGCCGCGCTCCCCTGTGTGGTGCGCTTGGCTGGATTCCCCCAACCCAGCACAAGTGTCCCCGTTCCTCTTTGCTTTTTCCCCCCCTTCCGCTTACATTTCCCCCTATTTCTCTCTGTTTCTCTCAGAGCACAAGGTCCCAGCAGCGCCCCCCTGTGTGGTGCGCCTGGTTAACTCCCCCCCACCCGAGAATGACAGTTCCTCCGGACATCAAACGAACGTGACTGTGCGAGAGGGTGAGGAAGAGAGAGGGGAAGAAGAGAGAGGGGTGAGAAAGAATGGAGAGAGTGCGGAGGTGGGTGAGGGGGAGAGGGTAGCTGATGGGGGAGGTGAGGGGAGCGGTGGCGGAAGAGGGGAAGGGGGGTGGGAAACGGAAAAGGGGAGGAGGGGAGGAGGAGAGGGGAGGGGGGGAAGAGGGAGGGGGCAGGAGCTTGTGGATACTGTGAGTGTAAACCTGCCTGCAGGGGCTGCTGAGTTTGGCCCTTTCCTTGGGAATGGTGATGATGGGGGTGATGGTGGTGATGGTGATGGTGGGAGTTATGGTGGTGGTAGTGGTGGTGGTGGTGATGGTGATGCTGGTGATGACGATGGTTATGGTGATGCTGACGATTTTTGTTTGAATGATGATGCTGCTGATGATGATGTTTATGATGATGCTGGCGAAGGTAGTGATCTTCATGGGTATGGGGATACTGATGCCGATGCTGCTGCCGATGCTGCTGCTGATGCTGGTGCCGGTGCTGATGTGGATGCTGTCAGTCCCAGTCTGAACGAGAGACAAGAAGCACCAGAGACAGATGCCACTGCAAAGAGGGGCACATCAGGAATCGTAGACGCCACAACAGCACATGCAGCAGCAGCAGCAGCGGCAACCAGCACTGAAGCCCCTTTTTCCTCCACTGATCCCCATTCTCCTTCCAGCTCCATTCTTGGAACCCTCGCAGAAGCATCCCCTATACAAGCATGTGTGGACCGCTTGTCGAATCCTGGCGAGGTGAAAGGGCGGGTGGTGGTGGTGATGCGTGGGGGATGTTCCTTCCAACAGAAGGTGGTAGCAGCACAGAGAGCAGGCGCTGCTGCTGTGATTGTTGTCAACCATGTTATGGGGGGAAGGGCGCTCAATATGGCACCTGATGTTCCGGGTTCTGATACTGTCACACATGAAGGTGGGGTGTCAGAGGGTGGTGAAGGGACAAATTCTGATACAGTCACACCTGATTCTGGAGTGTCGCAGGGTGGTGAAGGGACGGATTCAGAAACAGTCACAACCGATGGGCTGATGGCAGCGGGTGATGGAGTGTCATCAGGAAAAGGCAACCCTTCATCAGCAGCCGCATCCGAAGAAGGATCGGAAGCAGCAGGAGGATCAGGTTCGGATGCAGTCACGTCTGTTAAGGAATCAGCAGCAGGTGATGGAGTGTCACCAGGGAAATTATCAGCAGCTGTATCAGAAGAAGGATTAAAGGCAGCAGCAGAAGGATTAGCAGAAGGAGAAGGATCACCAGCAGGAGAAGAACCAATAACAGCATTAGAAACCCCGGAGGGAGGGGTTTCTAATGTGGCAGTACAGATCCCTTCAGTTAGCTTGGGCAATGCCGATGGCGCTCTGTTGTTGGCGGTCCTGAGAGGGCAGATGAGCGTGAGAGAGGCTGCGCGGCGGAAGGCAGAAGGCGGTGAGGGAGGGAGTGAGGGAGGGAGCGAGGGAGTGAGGGAGGGAGGGAGTGAGAAAGAGAGTGAAGTGGAGAGTGAAGGAGAGAGGGTGGGAGAAGAGAAGGAAGGAGATAATGTGGGTGGTTGTGAGGGGGAGGGTGAGGGGGAGGGTGAGGAAGAGTTTTCAAGCAAGAATGAAAGGGAGCAATGCAAGGATCAAACGGATCGAAAACCGCATCACAAGGGACCCAAGAAACATGGCAGTGGGGATAAAGGCGAAGGGGAAGGGGATGGGGTGAATAGATTGGATGATGGAAAAGCAGCAGAGGTATGGGTCAAGCTGTTTTGCCCGAAGAAACGGACGGAGGAGGATCATCCTGTTTTGTTTGACGTGGACGTCAGCGTGCCGCCACAGTCGCCTTTGCAGGTCAGTCTATCCCCCTGAGGAAAATGTTGTCAGTGCAGGGCTGTAAGTTCTCTGGTGCACTTTATGGAATTTGTCATGACTGCATTTGCCCTTTTCCATTCCCATCTGAATCTTCTTTTATTTATTGCAGATGCAGCAAGCTGTGAATGCAATGATCCTGCTGCTCAAAGGGGGGCACTTGAATCGCCTTTTGACATTTGCATAAAAGGTAGTGTATTTGGACTCAAATGGATAGCTGAAGCTGGAAAAGCTTCTTACGTTCAGTAACAGTGTATTGCTTTGTCGTGTAATGATTTGGTTAGGCTGGGGCAGGCCTGGTCAAGTCGTCGTTTTCGGAATATTTCCAAGCGGTTTCATAGAAGTTTCGACAAGGACCTTCGCCTATGGGATGGAGGCTCGGCAAAGGCAGCCTCGTGAATGGCGCGTAGCAGTACCACATCTCGACAAACAAAGGGGCTGACACGCACGCCACGCACGCGTGCGCAGTGTGATTACGTTTCCGGACCAGACTTCTCTCTCCGCACCACAACGGACCGCAAAGATCTCTGTCCAGCCCCCCCGAGCTGCGGAGGGTGGTCCCACCCAGCCCAAATCTCCGCGCGAGCGGGTTTCCTGCTGCCGACATTTCTCCATTCGTTCGGTACCGTACCCGTACCTCCTGAACAGTGTGGGTCGTGCAATCGTAGCTGCATCGCTTGACCAACTTGGCGATCACACCACGACAGCTGTCGTCGCAATTGCGAAGTCGTCGCACAAAGTCGCACATTCCTGAAGGTGTGGGGAGTGCGAATCTTGACAGTTGAATGTCCCTCAAGCACCCCAGCACAGCACCCAGGAGATGTCTCCGCCTCGAGCCTGTTTCTCCCTTTGCCCGCGAGTCGCCGAACCCGAATCCGAGCTCACGAGCTTGAGGGGGCTGTTGAAATGAACTGCTGCTGCTGCTCGCGTGGCACCAGGGTGGCGGGAAAAAAAAAAAAAAAAAAAAAAAAAAAAAAAAAAAAAAAAAATTCACGTGGCGAAAATTTTCGCCACAGTTTCCCCGTCAGCCAAAATTCGAATCTGCAAAGGGCATCTACCAACATTACCCATTCGCCACTTCATCATCCTTATCTCCAGTCAGCAAGACACACTTCCATTTTCACCCAATACAAATCCTTCAATCCTCCACCTCATCTCTTCTCCAATCCTCCTCAACCTTCTCATCCCAAACTCCACCAATCAATCCAAAGATTCCCTACCAAGCCTTAAATCAAAGCCCCATTCATTCCAATCACCAAGCCTTAATTTCAAGGCCACATTCATCCCACTCACCAAGCCTTAATTTCAAGGCCACATTCATCCCACCCACCAAGCCTTAACTTCAAGGCCACATTCACCACCCCCACCTTATCCAACTTAACCAATCACAATCATTCATCTCCTCCTCTCCTTCATCCAACCTCAAGCTCCACCAAATACAAAACAAAGGGTCCACCCCATTCTTTACTCATACTTTTCAAGCAATTTTTACCCAAGCTCTCAACAAGTTCTACTCTAAGCTCTCTCAAGGCCACTTCAAAGTCCTCCTCCTCATGCCCAACTCCTAAGGCTCCACTCATCACCTCAACCTCTCCCAACCCAAGCTCATAGCCATGTTCTCCAACTCTAGAGAAGTTCATGCTTCATAGTCTTTCTACTAGATTGTTAATCAATGGTTGCTCTTCAAGTCCATCATGTACCTCCTTTGGACTAGTGCATTTTAAGTTTTAAGGCCTCAACATCAACTTTGACTTTCTTCCAATCAAGATTCAAGTTTCACCTTCTTCACTCAACAATCATTGGAGGTTCTTCTCTACACAACAAACAAGATCTACACCTCAACACTCAAGCTTGGAAGGTGCTTCTCCACTCAACAATCAACATCTACTACTCAACAATCAAGCTTGGATCTCACTCTCTTTCCAACAATCAAGATTCACAATTCAAGCTTGGCTTCTTCAAGTTACAAAGCTCCTTCAAAATGACAAGTAAGAGTCTTTAAGGTAAGTCACCTCCTTTCACTCTTGTCAAGCTTCTCAATTCAAGCTTCCCTATTTAAAGCTTCTTCATTCTTATCAAATCTCCTTTCCTATCAAATCTTAGTTGTCATTATCAAGTTTGTTTAATTTTCAAGCTCCTTTACCTTTTCATCAATCACCCATTCAATACCTTTCTTCCAATCAATTGCTCTTTCCCTTTAATGTTTTCATCATCTTTCTTTCAAGTTGTTATTTTTCTCTTTAACCTTCTTATTTAAAGTCTTCAAATTCTTACTTAATCTCTTCTCAAAGAGTTTCTTTATCTCATCAAATTTGTCCTACTTCACTTTTAACTCTTTCTTCTAGGTGTTTTTCTTTCTCTCTACTTGCTATTTACCCTTCCTAATCCTTTACCAAATTTCAAGATGGTATCAGAGCTCGAGTTCATTCCTTTTTGCTGTCTCTTCCGTGCGCATCTTGTCTAGGTTTTGTTTTAGCCCATTATTTGCCATTAGTGGCATCCTTGCACCTGGTCTTGTGCCCCCTTTGGGGTCCTCCCTTTTGTGTTTCCCCTTTCTTTGTTCTTGTGTGTGTGTGTGTGTGTGCTTGTCTATTTCCCCTTCCCCTTGTGTGAAGTTGTTTGATTTTATCAGGAGTTTTAATCTCCCAACATGGATGAAAAGGACTCAAGTGTTCCCATGGGATCAACTTCACCAGCTGTAACCACCAACTCTTCAAACGAATCAGCACCTCCTACAACCAACACATCATCTCCATCTACACCACCTACTACATCTACATTTACCTCCTCCTTAGTCCCCAAATTGGAGCTTCCACGCTTCAACGGCAAAGGTTTTTCATCATGGAGCATCCGCTTTCAACAAGCCGCCACTCTTCTTGATCTTTGGCCTATCTACATTGGCCAAAACACTCCCCCTTCAACTGCTGCACCTGATCAAGAACAGAGTAACTGGATCAAGAAAAATGCTGAAGCTTATCTCTATCTCCTCTCTTCCATTCAAGACCCCTACTCTCAACCCCTCCTCCTCGTATCAACTCAAAAAGACAGTGCCAGAGCTGCTTGGGAGCGGCTCAAACGTCTTCATCAACCTATTTCCCAAGGTTCTAAGGCAGAAGTGTGGAACAAGATTGTCTCTCTCCGCATGGGGGAGAGTGAAACCATCCCCGACTACATACAACGTGGTGAAATGGTCCTTTACGAAGCGACACTTCTCGACATTGAGGTCCCGGAATCTCTCTTCATCACCATTCTCCTAGCGGGACTTTCATCTGGATGGAGCACTATGAGAAGCACCATTCAAGCCTTTCCTGAGGAGACAAGGACCCGAGACTTCATCTTCAACACGCTCATCACCGAACATCAGACAAGAGAGCTTGCAAAGCTTCAGAGAAACCCTGGACCAGCATGGAGTGGAATGACAAGTTCCAACTATCGCCCTCAACAAGGTGTTCAACAACAGAGCAAGTTTCAGCAAGGTAAGTCCTTTCAAACCCCAACACACTCTCTTCTTGGACAACCCACACCAAGTCATGTTTCTCAGCTTGCATCATACTCTAATCATATTCCTTATAAGCCAAAGTCAAGGTATCAATTTGAGTGTCATTACTGTCATCAATGGGGACATCCTTGGTTCAAGTGCAACATACGTCCTGCAAACTGGACACCACCTTCATCTCTGATCTCTGACAAAGGAAGGGCCGCCATTGCTATTACATCCCATACCCCTCCAGAAAATCAACCAGACAATGCGCATCATGGGGCACTCTTTCAGAATGCTTCCAAAGTGTCATCTCAAAACCATGTCTCTGCTTCCTCTATGCCACAACCTCCCACACCAGAGGCGCCTCTTCAAGCCACCACAGGAGTCGTTTCACATGAGAGGGACTCTACTAAATCCAATGCACCGAGTTTCGCATTTGCATCATCCTCTTGTCTGCATGCATTGACACAGGATCCCAAGATTTGGTTTTTGGACAGTGGATGTGATCAACATATGACCCCTCATGCCTCCCTCCTTCACAGCCTCAAGCCCTCCAATGTGAAAGAAGTGGTTGTTGCCAGCAACCATTCGGTGCCAGTTCAAGCAGAGGGAACAATGACATTTCTCAGTCCAGAGGGAATTCATATGTCATTCTCAGGCATCTTGCTTGTCCCCTCACTAGGGGCGAACCTTCTCTCAATTGGTCAAATGGAAGAGAAAGGTATTTCCATCTCTTTCTCAGATGGTTCTGTGCAGGTTCGTGCTCCAACTGGACATCACATTGCAAGAGGTGTTCGTAGTGGACGTCTCTATCGAGTGGAGATTGATGCACAACCACCTGCCAAGCCCTACAGCAGTCCCTCAGTTGCTGCTGCCACCACCTCAGTAAGACTTCATCCTGGTACATCTGCATCTCCTTACACCTGGCATTGTCGTTACGGTCACCCTGAAGAGTCTAGCATCACACGCATGCAAGCACATGCAAGTGTTGATGGTCTCATCATCTCCAAGCAGTTGTCATCATCTCAGTCATCATGCCACACTTGTGTTGAGGCTAAGCTTCCTCGTCATCCTTTCTATTCTTCTGAGTCTGAAGTCTCTCAACCGCTTGAGCTTATTCATAGTGACCTGATGGGTCCTTCCCGTACACCAAGTCGTACTGGGAAAAGATATGTAATGTCACTCATTGACCATCATACAAAATTTGCTTGGATCTCTCTTCTTGGATCTAAAGATGAAGCTCCCGGTATTATCCAGTCCTGGTTTCCTTATATTGAGCGTCAGTTGGGTCTCAAGGTCAAAATTTTTCGCTCTGATCGTGGAGGAGAGTACATGTCTAACTCTTTCCGCTCTTTTCTTGCCAACCTTGGAGTTGAACAGCAATTGTCATGCACAGCAACACCTCAACAAAATGGTACTGCTGAGAGGTACAACCGTACGATTCAAGAGATCTCAAGAAGTTTTCTCTCCCACATGAATCTAGATGACTCATGGTGGGGAGAAGCTGTTACACATGCTGCTTGGGTCAAGAATCGTCGACTGACAAGCTCCATTGCTGAGGGTATTACACCCTATGAGGCATTATATGGCATAAAGCCAAATGTGTCCATGCTGCGAATATTTGGCTGCATGGGTCAGTACAAAGTGCTAGATGACAAACGCAGCAAGTTTGAAAGTAAGGCAGCATGGGGCATGCATCTGGGCATGGCCAAGGAGAGTAAAGGCTGGTTAATGTGGGATCCTCTCCTCAAAAGAGACATTGTGTCAAGGGACGTGATCTTCTATGAAGACATGTCCCCTTCTTCTTGGAAACTTTCTTTTCCTCTTGTTTCCTCTCAAGTTCCTCCCTTCTCTACCTTTGCAGATTTCGAACCTCCAACAATCATACTAAGTGGAGTTCCTGCATCATCACCGCAGCAGCAACACGAAGACATGTCTCATGCTCAAGACCAACAACCACCTCCATCATCTTCTGCACCCACCTCTCATCATCAAGAGCAACAGCAGCAGCAACCACCACCACCTCCATCACAACAAAACCAGTCAACTGCTCCACCTGTTCTTTCATCTCATCCTCCTCCTCAACCCCCAATTAATTCGCTTCAGCAGCAGCAACAACAACCATCTCCACCCAATTTACCTCCTCCTCTTCAATCTTCCCCCACTCACCAGCAGGACCAGCAGCAACAACAACACCCCTCTGCCACTCACTCTCTTCACCCGTCACTTCCGCCTCTCGTCGTTCATCGACCAAGTGGTTATCGACCAGCAGCCCTTCTTCACCTTCCAGACCATCTTGAACACGTATCGTCAACCGTGCAGCCACCACCAACACAACAGCACACATCTTCCCATCTCCAGCACCTGCATTCGACAAGTCCGACTGATAGAATTTCATCAGAAGATCATTCTCAACCGGCAGCACCACCTCCCTCACCCAACCGAATCGACATCAACTACCCACCAGCGATGAGCACGTCACACGTTGCAGCACCATCTTCATCTTCTTCGTCATCTGCGCACTTCACCTCTCATGTGCCGGTGTCCACTTTCATCTCAACCCCAGGTCATTTGTGTAGCGATCGTACCTGCTTCCAATGCAGGATTCACGCCACCTGTTTTGCCATTTCCCAACTTCCACCCGAGCCTCTCAATCGCAAGGAAGCTATGGCAGGAGCCTTTAAGGAGCAGTGGTTAGCAGCAGAAAAGGCAGAACTGGAAAGTTTGCTTGACCGAGGGACTTGGACTTTGGAGCCACTACCCAAGGGAAAGAAGCTTGTGGGAGTTAAATGGGTCTACCGGGTGAAGGTGAAGGGTGATGGATCTTTGGACAAGTTCAAGGCTCGTTTGGTCGCCAAAGGATATTCTCAAGTTCCTGGAGAAGACTACAATGAAACGTTTGCTTCAGTCGCCAAGTTTACCAGTGTACGCGCTCTTCTTGGTATGGCAGTACGAATGGATCTCTACATCATCCAGCTGGACGTCTCCAACGCCTTTCTCTACGGCATTTTAGAGGAAGAAATCTACACGGCTCAACCTGATGGGTATCATGATGGCACTGAGAGAGTCTGCAGGCTGCACAAGTCCCTGTATGGCCTGAAGCAAGCTCCACGGGTTTGGTATCACGCGTTAGAGTCTGCCTTGCTGGCACAAGGTTTCACACAGTCTGAGTATGACCCTGCCCTCTACATCCTGCACACGGAGGTGCATGAGGTACTGTGGTTGATAGTGTATGTGGATGACATCCTCATGGTGTCAGGTTCTCTCTCCCTTCTCACCCACATCAAAGGTATGCTCACCAAGGAGTTTGTCATGACAGACATGGGTGAGCCATCATATTACCTTGGCATGAACATCATTCGTGACCGTTCTTCTCGCTCTCTATTTCTTTCCCAAGAGCGATACATTCACAAGGTCCTCTCTCGCTTCGGCCTTCTTGCCTGCAATCCTGCATCTACACCTCTCCCTTCTACTTTTCAGCATTCTTCCCCTTCCACTTCTGACCATCAGCCCTCTCAGACTGAACCCTTTTCTGACTGGGACGAGTTCCACGAGGCTCTTGCACCTTCATCCTCTTCATCCCCTTCTTCTTCCAACGCACCTCCTTCATCACTCCTTTCCCCTCTCGACATTAATCTTTACCAGAGCATTGTCGGTAGCCTCATGTACGCATCCGTCTGCACTCGCCCAGATCTCTCTCATGCTGTGGGCGTGCTTTCTCAGTTCCTTTCCGCGCCATCTACTCAACACTTGAATGCTGCGAAGCGTGTCCTGCGCTACCTCTCCGGATCTCAATCTTTTGGTCTCTTCTTTCATGGACATGAGCATGGTAGTGTCTTGCATGGTTTCACGGATGCGGATTGGGCAGGTCCTCTTTCAAAGCGGAAGTCCACTGGCGGCTACATGTTTGTGATAGCGGGAGCAGCCATTTCTTGGCAATCGAAGAAGCAAGGCTGTGTGGCATTATCTTCAACGGAGGCGGAGTACATGGCTGTGACGCAAGGAGCAAGAGAGGCTGTGTGGTTGAGAGGGTTGCTGACAGAGTTGGGTCTTCCCCAGCATGAGCCGACCATTCTTCACATTGACAACACATCGGCGATCGCCTTGAGCAAGAACCCGGTCTATCATGGACGCACAAAGCACATTGATACCCAGTATCACTACATTCGAGAGCTGATCAAGAACAAAGTTGTGGCACCGACCTACTGCAGCACCACGGACCAGGCTGCTGACTTCCTGACTAAGATCCTCCCCCGGCACCTCTTTCTTCTTGGCCGCCACCGTGCCGGATTGATGCCGATCGAGTCTCTTGGGTGCTTCTCCACTGCTGTCCCTTCCGCTCATTCTTCTCGCTCGGAGGGTCAGCAGTGCGGGGGGGTGTTGAAATGAACTGCTGCTGCTGCTCGCGTGGCACCAGGGTGGCGGGAAAAAAAAAAAAAAAAAAAAAAAAAAAAAAAAAAAAAATTCACGTGGCGAAAATTTTCGCCACAGTTTCCCCGTCAGCCAAAATTCGAATCTGCAAAGGGCATCTACCAACATTACCCATTCGCCACTTCATCATCCTTATCTCCAGTCAGCAAGACACACTTCCATTTTCACCCAATACAAATCCTTCAATCCTCCACCTCATCTCTTCTCCAATCCTCCTCAACCTTCTCATCCCAAACTCCACCAATCAATCCAAAGATTCCCTACCAAGCCTTAAATCAAAGCCCCATTCATTCCAATCACCAAGCCTTAATTTCAAGGCCACATTCATCCCACTCACCAAGCCTTAATTTCAAGGCCACATTCATCCCACCCACCAAGCCTTAACTTCAAGGCCACATTCACCACCCCCACCTTATCCAACTTAACCAATCACAATCATTCATCTCCTCCTCTCCTTCATCCAACCTCAAGCTCCACCAAATACAAAACAAAGGGTCCACCCCATTCTTTACTCATACTTTTCAAGCAATTTTTACCCAAGCTCTCAACAAGTTCTACTCTAAGCTCTCTCAAGGCCACTTCAAAGTCCTCCTCCTCATGCCCAACTCCTAAGGCTCCACTCATCACCTCAACCTCTCCCAACCCAAGCTCATAGCCATGTTCTCCAACTCTAGAGAAGTTCATGCTTCATAGTCTTTCTACTAGATTGTTAATCAATGGTTGCTCTTCAAGTCCATCATGTACCTCCTTTGGACTAGTGCATTTTAAGTTTTAAGGCCTCAACATCAACTTTGACTTTCTTCCAATCAAGATTCAAGTTTCACCTTCTTCACTCAACAATCATTGGAGGTTCTTCTCTACACAACAAACAAGATCTACACCTCAACACTCAAGCTTGGAAGGTGCTTCTCCACTCAACAATCAACATCTACTACTCAACAATCAAGCTTGGATCTCACTCTCTTTCCAACAATCAAGATTCACAATTCAAGCTTGGCTTCTTCAAGTTACAAAGCTCCTTCAAAATGACAAGTAAGAGTCTTTAAGGTAAGTCACCTCCTTTCACTCTTGTCAAGCTTCTCAATTCAAGCTTCCCTATTTAAAGCTTCTTCATTCTTATCAAATCTCCTTTCCTATCAAATCTTAGTTGTCATTATCAAGTTTGTTTAATTTTCAAGCTCCTTTACCTTTTCATCAATCACCCATTCAATACCTTTCTTCCAATCAATTGCTCTTTCCCTTTAATGTTTTCATCATCTTTCTTTCAAGTTGTTATTTTTCTCTTTAACCTTCTTATTTAAAGTCTTCAAATTCTTACTTAATCTCTTCTCAAAGAGTTTCTTTATCTCATCAAATTTGTCCTACTTCACTTTTAACTCTTTCTTCTAGGTGTTTTTCTTTCTCTCTACTTGCTATTTACCCTTCCTAATCCTTTACCAAATTTCAAGAGGGGCGCGGTGTGCGGTTCGCCTAACCGCGCCCAGACCTAGACCAACAAACCGAACCAGCCCCTTCTTCTGGTGCTTTTCTGCGGGGGCTCTTTCCTCGCCATCGCCAACCTCGATGTTGCCGCACCGGGAGCTGGGGGGCGAACCGACCAACGGCTGGTAACCAGCCAGCCTTCTGTGTCGCCCTTCCCTTTCCCCACCTCTCCATGCCTCCTCTCGGTCCTGGGCTCTGCTGGTAAAGGATTTTTTTGGTGTTTGAACTTCCACCATACTGCACCGTACTATGAGCTTAATAAAATGTAATTCACCGTGCAAAACCCATCTATATTTTTTAACTTCAGTGGTCTTATTGAGATAATGAATCCATTCATGGCCGCTCGGTGCCTTCCTCGTGTTTTATGTGTAACTGACCGCCAGCACTGGCTGGTGTACTAATTTGACTGACGTAAGGTGACGTAACGTGACGCTGATCGCCAGTAATAACGTGACCTGACAGATAGTAGACTTTTCGTTCTTACCGAACAAGTGGCTTGTGAAGCTGTCCGCTTCGGGATGATCCCCAGAGCTATCCCGAGTCAGAGAGGACGGGAAGTTCGTTCCTGATGCTCCTTGGGAATATAATCGTCACCTGTAACGCATTCACGTAGTTTCGCGTTGAGCACGTGCAGACACTATCAGGAAAGGTGACAGAATCACATTAGGAGCGAGAGTGGGTGAAAGCGAGAGTAAGTACAGCATTATACAGTCATTCCTTCGACGCGTGAACGCTTTGCTGCAAGATAAGCGATGTGGTCAGAATCGTAGCTGCGGGCCTCCCGCTCGTGACTCGTCGTAGCACTGACGATGAGACGCTCCACTAAGAACGATCTTATAACGCGTACCGCCATTCCCGCATTGCGATTCAGCTCCGTGACGAAGGGAAAATGGATGATGCGAATAATAGGGTAGCGACACGACGATTTCGTATGACTCGCCAACCAAAGCAGTCGTGCGACGGTGATCCGGAACCTAGCATCAGACTTCACGGCGGTAACGAGCCGATAGATCAGTGCGATCCACGTCAGCCGTACGGCCCACGTCAGCACCTTATTTATAGAGATCCGACGAAGAGATACCTGCGATCCGCGACGTTTTTGAGAGTATGGCTCGCCTCTCTTCTTATTGTCAGCCTGCTCTCGCCGGCGAATTTACCGGCCGCCGCCGAAGGTAACGGCCTTTCGCTCGCTTCAAATACTTCAACTCAGATTCACTTCTCTCCGTTGTTTTCGCTTGTCCTCGCCTGCGTTGACGTCATCCTCGGTACAAGCTTGAACGTCTTTTCACGAATACGCTCCTGCGTCGTGTCTTGCTGCGTTGCACGAGACGCCTGCTGCTAATGAAAATGCCGTTCGTCTGGCTTTTGTGTCGACTAATAAGACTATCTGGTTAGATGCAATGCGATGCGGTGATTGCCGGCCGGGGAATGCACACCGTTTAACTTAAAATGGTGTAACCCTGTGTCTATCACATCGCATGAACGTGACGTTTGAGTCGGCTCAAGTGTCACCTCGTCATTGCAGCCTTTTTTCAGTCACATCACATTACGTCACACATCATACCATATCACGTTACATCGCATTGCCTTCCTTTGCTTTCTGGTCCGGTGTGCTTTCGCTTGCGTGCCGTAATGCAGAGGTCCGGTGGTGCGTGGTGGAAGGTAGTTCCTCCTCTCTCTGCAAGAACCTCCTCTTACAGTCACACCCCGGCGGCGACGACAACACCTGTGACTCGGACCAATCCCACCCACCGTGCTGGAAATGGTGTGTTCTAGCTAAACTGCACAACTGCATTCCTCCTTTAGACGTCTCAAAAAGCGTACTCTTAGGCTCGTGTCGGCCTTCTCCCCTCTCCCCCCTTTCTTTTGACATCGGCTTTTCTCTCCGTTATTCCCTTCCCTCACCCTCCCTCCCTCCTCCCCCTCTCCGCCCCCCGAACACCAGCGTTCCGCGCGCCCTCGACCAGCACTGCTGGCGAGCGCTGCTGCTTCCGCACGCCGCTCCTGGCGCTGCTGACGTGGCGCTGCTGTCTCCGCCGTTGGATCTTCTAAAATCGGATCTCGCAGATGGCTTGCAGCAGACGCAGCAGCAGCAGAAGGAACAGCGAGAGCCGAGATACCAGCAGCAACAGCGGGAAAAGCGGCGGGATCAGGAGGGAGAGGAGGTACAGGTAGCTAGTGGCAATGCAGGTGGGCAGCAGGGGCAGACGCAGTGGCAAAAGCCGTGGCAACAAAGAGTAGAGGGTCCAGTGGATCAGGAACAGGCGCAGCGGAAATCGAAGCATGGGCAGCAGGAACAGCAGCAGCAGAGGCAGCAAGAACAGCAGCAACAGCAGCAGAACCAGAAGCAGAAGCAGAAGCAGACTCAGAGTAAGGCTCGACGGAGGAAAGCAAGGGGTGCCAATATACTAGCAGCAACGGCTGCTGGTGCTGGCGCTGCTGCTGCTGCTGCCAGATATGGCAACATAACGAGCGGGTCAGTAGGGGTGATTGTGACAGGCAGCATGTGCGACAGAATGCCAGACCTGCTGGCTCAGGTGGGGCTTGGAACGGAGGCGGAGGAGGTCTGGAAGCAGCAGGCTCGGCAGCAGGGGAAAGACTTGGTCGGGAACATGCGTATGTGCTCTGGAGAAGGGGTTATCTCGTGCTTAAATCTGCTGCATGAGACGGAGCAGGCGACCAAAGAGGAGGGAGTGGATAGCAGTAGCAGCGGTGGCAGCAG